TTTTGTATATTAGGGTTGTGTGTTACATCTAATGTTGTTAAATGAATGTTTATTGCATTATTTCAGTTTCATGTGTGTTACCATGATGGTGTTTAGTGTTTGTGTGAATGACACTGTGCATCGTCTATATATGTTATTATTTAAAAGCTGCTTGTGATGGGCTTTGGTTCATCATGTGACTTTCTCATCACCTCCTGCATTTGGTGCCTGTCAGTGTATTACAAAGATACAAAACAGATTTCAGTACTTCAGTAAGTTGGTATATTAACATTATATCAGTTAATGAAATTACGGTATTTAACTCTAAATTTAAGTTAAAACCGTAAAACCTTTTTTTACGGTAAAATTTCGGTAAATTTTACGGAATTTTTTTTATAGTGTGGACAACACATTAAACATATGCACTTATAAACAGAGCTGTGTATATTGGGTTTCAGAAACCCAATATGATTTGATTTTTATTCCACCAATTTATTTTAAAAGACAACCAACTAATAGGTGCAAAAGTGAATGTCAGCACTATACTTCTGCATTCAGTTGATTTGATCATATTTTTTTAAATGAGATGTTTTTTTGCACATAGTAATCTACTCTCTTTTCAGTCTTTCACAGTGATGAGATTGAAGGCTTGCTTTACTAGCAGAGGATTTCATAACAAAAGTTTAACCTACACAGTGTGATGTGATACCCTTGATGCTGTCCGTTGCACCTTTTAAAAAATACTTTGAGCCACCTATAACTGGACTGTTTAAAGACATTTTCATTTCCACATCTCAATTATGTATGAAACCATATACATGTGATATATGTCATTTTATTCATTGAAAACACTGCTGGTGTAGTCTGTGAAATTCCAATAGTTATATACTGTATATGTGGTATACATTTCTTAATACACAACTTGCTTAGGCTCCAAAGCAACAAGTATAACAAGCATAAATACTTTTTTTTATCATTTCAAAATGTTCCTTTTACATCTTATTTCTAAAAATTTATTTTATTATTAAAATGATTAATTAATTGTTTCATATGTTTTATGATATGTTGATCATATTTATATTTAGAATTTTATATTTTCATTCAACTTTTTCAATAATCATAAAATATCAATTTCATAACATTATTTTTGCTATTATAACTCCTGTTGTAAATGCATTAATTCCACCTGCTGTATGTGCAGAATTTAACATTTTTGTGCCATATATGCTGCTTTAGGTGCAGCTTCTGTGCCTCCTTTGCGGTCTAAATAATACTATATATAGTAAGGTTGTGCATCGATATCAGAAGACAATACAACGGGAGCAATGCAGACACACCAACATATATAACCTACTGATTGCATTTAACCTTACTATGACTCATATGCCCTGCCTCTTGTTTCAACTAACCCAAGATCTGAAAATTAGACACCTCACATGAGACTATTCTTTTAATGCTGCAAAACAGGTCATGAATGGCAGTTTCACGTTTTACACAAAAAGTCGACTGCTGCTGCTAATTTCTGACACATGACTGGAGCTGTGGGTGCAGCTAGGACGCATGGATGATGTATTTCTTCAATGCCTTTACCGCATTGTTCACCACCATTCCCATCACCGTTTACACCCAGCGCTGTTACATATCTAATGCTCATGCCACCTATTAAATGCTTTCTTCCATTCAGGCCTGTCACTTTACATTGACACTTATTGGGCTTACAAGCAACTTTCCTCAATGTGGTCCAATGGGCAGTGTGTTGAAAATGCAGCAGCGTGCGGATATAAATACCAGGCCTGGCTTTCTTAAATACAAAACCAGCGGGTGACATTTACAACAAGCACAATATCGCTCAAGACACGGCCCAGAAATGACTGCATTATGTGGCCAGCACAGGTCGGTGTTCTCTGCATTCACCGTACAGGACTCAACGGACATTATAACAGTGTTCGTGAATCACTGTTCTCCAGCACGGATCTCAATGCGATTCACTGCGCCCTTACCTGCACACCCACTCCTAAGGATGAATGATTATGGCACAGATCGGCGCGGTAAAATGCTTCTCATGCGATGTATGAATACTCCCGGATGGATTGAGCGCTGTCTCTTTCCTCTGGCATACTTCAGTCAGGTGCGCGACGAGAAGAAGGGGATGCGTGGCGCAAAACGACACTCGGTACTTTCGATGACACCGGTCAGCGCGCGGCTCCTTCAAGGGTGATATCACTCGCATCACATTAAAAATGTGTCAGGCCAGATTTGCTTGCTCGGTCAGATCGCCGGTGTGCTTGGATATCCCGTGCACCGGATCCGCACGCGCGCTCTCTC